ACTCCATATAGTCTGTCTTCTTTAGTCTAACACCACAGAAACAACTCCTACATGTTTCCCAGTTTCTATCAATATTTATTAGCAAAGTCTTATAGTTTTCTTGGTGTGCAAATGATTTCCTCCTCCTTCTTTATATGTTCTTGTCTCCTAGAAGCATGCTGAGATTTGACCCTACTTTAGACATTTAGAGGCAATAGGGGATGATTCTGATTGATCCTGAGGAGAATGTACATTCGTCTTGGCATCTGAAGACAACATATTTCTACTGGTAAGGAACGCTCAGAATGACCCGAGGGTTCAAAATTTGCCGTTTCATCTGGTACCAATTCATTGCAAGTTTCAGGATCCTGTTAGTTACTAATAAAGGCCCTGCATTTTATAGTATAAAGTGTCTGTAAGTTTACCTGTTGCTGTAATTCAGCTACCTGAATATCACATGCTAGCAAAATCCTGCTAAAGATTATCCAGAAACAACTGGAATAATATTATTGACAGAGAACTACCAGAAATACAAGCTGGGTTTAGAAGACACCGTAACACTAGAGACATTATCGCTAATGTCAGATGGATCTTGGCAGAAAGCAAAGAATACCAGAATTTCATCTGTGTTTCATTGACTATGCAAAGGCATTTGACTGGGTAGATCACAACAAATTGTGGTTAACCTTGAGTGGGAATCCCAGAACTCTTGATTGTGCCCATGCAAAACTTATCCTTGGACCAGCATGTAGTCCTCAGAACAGAGCAAGGAAACATTGCATGGTTCAAAGTTAGGAAGGAAGTACATCAGGAACGCCTTCCATCTCCATACCTTTTCAATCTATATGCAGAACAGATCATTCGGTGGTTGGGTTTTATGAGGAGGAATGTGGCATCAGGACTTAAGTAAGACTTATCAAGGACCTACATTATGCAGATGACATGACCATGCTTGCTGAGAGTGCGGAGAACTTGAAACACCTGCTGCAAAAAAGGTCAAGTACTGTAGTCTTCAATATGAATGAAGCTCACCATCTCAAAGACAAATATTCTCACCACTGGGCAAATTGGCAGCACCATGATAGATGGAGAAGAGATTGACATTGTTAACAGTTACAGCTTGCTTGGCTCCACAATCAACATTCTTGGCATTGTTGTTGCTGTTGTTGTTATGTGCCGTCGACTCATATCGACCTTATGTACAACAGCCCTAAACTCCGCTCTGTTCTGTGCCAATCTCACTGTCTCTGACACTCCCATCCCAATTATCCCAGCCACTGAATCAATAAATCCACCTCATAGTGGGCCTTCCTCTCCTGTGCTGTCCCTCCACCCTCCCAAGCACGATGTCCCTCTCTAAGGACCGGTCTCTCCTCACAACATGTCCAAAGTATGTCGGACGGAGCCTCAGAATCCTTGCCTCCAAGGATTCTTGGCATTAGCAGTCAGAAATCAAAAAACAAATTGCATTAGGTGAATTTGTTGTCAGGAACTTTTTCAGAGTACTGAAAATCAAGCATGCCAGTCTAGAGAATAAGGTGAGCCTGATCCAGGACATGGTCTTTGCAATTACTTGCTATGTATCAAGAGAGCTGGACAATGACTAAGGATGATAGACGAAGAATCAATGCTTTTGAGATGTGGTGCTAGAGAAGAGTCTTGAACATAACATAGACCACAAAGAATAGAAATTAAGTCTATCTTGGAGAGGATGCAACCAAGTTTCTCCTTGGAGGCTAGGATTTTGAAGCTCCATCTAACATATTTTGGGCATGTGGCCAGGAGGGCCCGATCCTTGGAGAATGAAATGCTTGGAAGGGTGGAGGGACTGCGCAGCATTGGAAGACCCCAGATAAGATGGATTGATACAGTAAGTAGGGCAACAGGGGTAGGTGTGTCTGAGTCAGAGAGACTGGCTCGGGACAGGGCAGGTATCAGAGCTCCTGTCCATAGGGTTGCTATGAGTTGCAGGAGACACACCAGAACACAATAACAACAACAACAACAATCTGAACAATTACAATTTTGTGTTTGTTTTAAAATAGTATCATCTAGTGACTAAAGATATAATAATTTAATTTAGAATTGTTATGGAACTTCTTTTTTTTTCACAAAACGTAGTTTGATCTATAAGTTTATGGACCTGTGGCTGTCAGTGACTGGGATAATCGGGATGGGAGTGTCAGAGACAGTGCGATTGGCACAGGACAGAGCAGAGTTTAGGGCTGTTGTTCATAGGGTCCTTATGAGTCGCAAGCGACTCTATGGCACATAATAACAACAATGAGTTCAAAAGAATTCATCCTTCATCATCGTCTTTGCAATCTTTTTCATGGCCACAATTGTCAAATGTAGTTGCCATTTGGACCCCCAGTGCACTTCATCACAATCATCCACAGGTCATGGTTTGATTAATTGGGGTTGTTCTACACACTATGTTATTAGCAATCCATTTCCCTGTCAAGGGGTTGAGTGAGGCACTCAGGCCAAGGTTCCAACTGTACCAATCTTAACTTTCATCTTTCTAGGTTTGTCTCTGAGACTACTTACTTTAGAGACAGGAAAAGCATAATGAAAAGTTAGAAATTATAATAAGGGATTAGAGTAATGAGATTCACAAATACAAAGAGCACTCTAAAAAAATACAGCAACAGCTAGAGCTGAGGTTGAGTGCTTAATTCTCCCTTCTGTATGAGAATTTATCTCTTTGGGGAGGGCCCATTGAATGGCAAAGAAGTACCCAACTTACACCAATATAAATGGAACATCTGCTCTGGAACGTATAAGAAATTTCCTCCCTGGAATATTGATGTACTTAGTATTTTACAGGGAGAAGTCACACTGTACTCAATTTGCTTCAGTTGCTTATGACTTACCTCAGCCCTACAAAGAGTGTCAGGTGCTTTACATCACAATGGGAGACTATCCGTCTAGAGGAGCCACTAGAGATGGACAGCCTTTAGGTTAGTTAGCAGTGCGATTTGCTGTCTACTGGGTAGGTAGGTGAGACCTTCTCTATCTCACCTTAAACCCTCCACTAATAAATGAAATGGCGAAAAGTGTATTGTGGCTATGTGTAGGGGTAAGAAACTGCTGGCTGCCAAGCATTCATTGCAAGACTTTAAAACAAAACAAAACAAAAAAACCAACTCATTGTCATCAAGTCTGAACCACTTATCGTTGAGTGTCCAAAACGGGGAGGAGATCGCCCATCTTTCTCCTGAGGAAAAGGTGTTGGATGTGAAGCAAAGAGCTTGCCTTTGGGTTGGCAGCATAACTCCCCACTGGTCATGCTGTTGTTGCGTTGTTATGTGCCTTTGAGTCACCAGGTATGCAGCAAGACCTTGTCTACCAAGACATCAAAACTTGGAAGCAACACCTTTCTCCTGCAATGTCTCTTCAGTGCCCTCTACTGACAGATGCAATGACAGCTGTCAAAAGAAAATCCAAAAGGCCCAGATCCAGTTTCACAGCACAGGCAAAAAGGATGACTTAGAGCTGAGGAGTTGTATAATTCAGTAACAGACACAAGTATCACTGCTGATTTCCCTCATAGCCTTTAAAGAGCTGAGTCTACATTTGCCTGGAGGGATCTTTGTAAGTTCCCCTTTCCATGGGCTCCATTATTAATAAAAACAATGGAGAAAAAGATAAGCCTGGATGAAATTTGCAGTTCCTCACCCCTCCCCTGACTGGCTTTTCCTCTCCAGCAGCCCCTCACTAAGTTGCCTCCCTAGACAACCAGTCTCAGTTCTTCAAGGACAGGAAATCTAAGCAGCGAAAGGAAACTTGGGAGCAAGCTGCAGCGCTGTGGGAAAAGGGCTGCAGGTGCCTGAACGTCTCTGACACCCTCAACTAATGCAAAGCAACCTCCCAGGTCACAGGAACTGTCTGAGGTCTCCCCGCTGCCTGCGCGCAAGGAGGCGGGCACAGGGCCGGCCGGGCGGGCGGCGCGCGGTGATTGGGCGCCAGGGCCCCCGCCCCTTTGTCCAGGCGCGTCGGGAGGGGGGCGGGGCCATCTGCCTGTTCGGCTCTGGGGCTGCGGGCGCCTATTGACCCAGCGACCGCGGCTCCGCCGTCTCCTGCTCGTAGCGGGCGGTGCGGGAGCGCCGAGTGGCGCTGGAGAACCAGCGCTTCCTCGCTCTGCTGCTGCCGCCATCGCCTCGTTTGCAGAGCGGGAAGGAGGGAGGGGGCTGGCGGCTGCAGCTGGAGCGGGCTTCTCTCTGGGGACAGTCCGCTCCTCCTAGCCCTCCTTTTCCTCCTCCCCGATCTGCCGCCCGCCCCCTGCGCCCTCCCCGCGCAGCCCGGGTCCGGGAGGGGGAAGGAAGGGGCGGCGGGGGGCGGGAGAGGCCAGCGGGCGGACACGCGCTCGGAGGGAACTCCTGCCAGATCCGTGCGCCCCCGCGTCCAGGGTGCACCCCAACCCGACCGCGGCTGCGGTGGCGGCAGCAGCAGAGGCGGCTTGAAGGGGCTCGGATCGGGGAGGCGGAGGCGGTGTCTCGGGGGCGGGCCTGGCTGTCCCAGCTCTAAGTTGTGGGGCCCGGCTTCTCGGGACTGGTTTCCTTCCCCATCCACTCCTCTAGACCCAGCTCCGCGCCGCCGGCTGCGGGAGCCGCCGAAGCTGCATCTCCTTTAGGCGAGGACACGCCTGCTCTCGTCGAGAAAACTTTTCCTGCCTACTCAGTCGGGGCGGCGGTGGCAGGAAGTCCGGGCGGCGACCTCCCCTCTGCCTGCCCCGTGCGCCCCACGGGTTCCCGGCGCTAGACTCTCGATCAAGTTTGCGGGGCTTGCTTCGAGAAGGACGGCTGGCCCCTGGGAGGGCAGCGAGCCAGGGCCGAGGGCGCATAGGGGCCCTGGAGGCAAGGTGTGGAGCGCAGCCCAGCCCAGCCACTCCCGAGAGCTCAGAGGGCGCACAGCTGGGGAGCCTGGAGCCTCTGGCGGTCGCTTCCTAGAATCTTCAGTCCGGCTCCTCCTCTGGCCCGCGTGAGGATAGTGTCCTGGCCACAAGTCTGTCGAGGAAAATGAAGTTAAGCCGTCAGTTCACCGTGTTCGGCAGCGCTATCTTCTGCGTGGTGATCTTCTCTCTCTACCTGATGCTGGACCGGGGTCACTTAGACTACCCCAAAAGTCCGCGCCGCGAGGGCTCCTTTCCCCAGGTAAGCCCCGGGTAGTCGGGGCGAGGGAGCTGGAGGTGACAGGCGTGGGGGCCTGGGCTTACCAGCAACTCATCCCAGCTCGGTGCCAGGCGAGTGAGAGGCTGAACTGGAGGAACAGCCGAGCCTAGTCCAGATGGAGCTCGGGTCAACCGCCCGGGAGCCTCCTCCAGCAGGGCGCGAGCAGGAGTTAACAAAGTGCTGGCGGTCTGGGGAAGTGGCCATGTTCCCGCACTCGCACCCGGCTTGTCGGGGTGGCCTGGGACACCTGCTGGCTGGCCATCAGGTGTGACGTGAGGTACCCTCTTACTAGCCCGGCACCCGGAAATCTCTGGAGTGAAGCCCCGTGATTCTACCGGGTTTAAGCCGCATATCGGCGCCCAGACCTCCAGCGCGCACCAAGACGCGGAAATGAATCGCAGTACCCTTCTGTGAGTCACTCTTCCGCTCGGTCTTTTGAGAAATAAATAAAAGTTTATTTTGTGTTGTAGCCCTTTTAGGTGTGAATCTATAGAGCTGATTTAATGCCCTCATTTTTTAGCTGTAACATGGGGTTGGTTAGTAGCAGACGTGGTAAGCAGACAGGGCAAGCGCGTGTTATACTCCTGGCAGAAGCTGTGGGGCGCTCAGTCCTGCGCCTAGTGGTCATATAAACTAAGAAGTTGGGGGAAAAGACCCCAATCAAGTGTTCTATTTAAAGTGGCTGAACAAGACGAACACGATCGATTCTGTGTTTCTACGCATACCGCTTGTGCAAGTTCAGTGTCAAATTGCTTGCCAATTATATATACATTTCAAAAATTAGTAAAATTGAGTCCTGTCTAGTAGTATTTCTTGTAATGAAAGAACCCATAAAATTTGAAACCCTGATGAACTGATGGAACAACTACTTATTTGACTCAGGGACTGAGAAAACAGAAGACCTGATTCTCCTTTTACCTTATTGTGACAATTTAAGTGGCCAAGTTGTATCCTTTCTGGTATGTGTGTACTAGGGCAAACTGCTCAAACGTAAATTTAGTTACAAACATGACATTAATTATTATGAAATTTTTTAAAAAGTTACTCCTTTATGAATGCTGTTCCAGATCGATACAAAGTATTTTGCATGTGACAGGTGTTTAGAAAATCTTGTGGCAAACGAATAGTTTTTCGAAGTGCCTGTTTTTCTCAAGTGGTGGTATGCTAGAGAAAAGAGAGTGAAACAAGCACTCATTGATGATTTTAAACATAGCGTTTAAAGCTTGTTCCATAACTCTTGTTGCACTTGGAGAAGATAGTTCACAAAAGAGTAAACTGAAGCCAGAACAAAAAGACTTCTAAGTTTTGATATTAGTATAATTTTGGGATTAAATTTACTGTAGTCTCTTTCTCTGCACTTCCAGTTATCATGTTTTCACCATCACAGGAAAAGCTTAAAACTGATGTGTTATATGTGAAGTGTTAGGCTAAATAATGTCCCTTGACTTTGGTTTCATGATTTATGCAAACATCTGGACCTGGATTAACTGGCAACCTTGACATTTTACTTTTGTTCAAAAAGGCAGTGAGTCATTCAATTATTAGGAAATCTTTTAAAAAAAAAAAAGAAGGGAATGGTTTAGATAGGCAAAGTTAACTCCAGCATTTTTATATTTATTTTGGGCTAAGAGGCTGAAATTCTGCTTAGAGAAAAAAATGAAGAGTATGTGTACTCTGTAGTGTGCAAAGGAATAGCATTTGAAAGGTAAAGCTATTTGTACTTAGAGTTGGCTTAGGTTTTTAATACTAGCTATTCAGTGTAGGAAAAAGGCTAATTCTCTTTTGATGGTGTTTGGGGGCCACTAGACCCTCTAGCGGGTGGACAAGATAAGCAATCTTGGCTTTTACTATTGGGTGCACATTGTTCTGTTTCATACTTGATAAACTCCCATCTCTACACTACCATGTAATAGGTGAGGAATTAGGCACAGAAGGGTTAATTAACTTGCTCCAGGTCACAGAGTTACTAAGTGGAACAGTAAAGATTGAAATAGGTGGATTTTGGAATATAATCTTTCAGTCACTGTGCTGTACTGTCTCTTAGGAATCCTTTACTCACTATATAGGGCCAGCTGGTCTATGGCAAGATCTGATATGGAATACAAAGGATGTTGCTCTATGATTCCTTACCTTTTTTTTTTAAATATTTTTTTTATCATAAACTAGCAAATATTATATTTTGTAACATTTGCTGTTTGAGATTTATGCTTTCTCAGGTTGTCTTCTAGCTTAGTTCTTCTAGCTTTAATGAAAATGTTTATGCAGTTCATGAAACACAGCATCAAGCATTAGGGTTGTCTAATTCTATTTTTCTTATCCATACAACTCAGTGTAAGCCTTAATTTGGTGAGAACACCAAACATAGCAAAAGTGATTGCAACAGATGATGTTTCTTTGGTAAATGTGGGTACTGACTGGGCTCTTAAGAATTTTAATGAAGTTATGTCAGATAGTCACCAAATGTCATTTTCAGTGTCTAGTAGGGTGATTGATACAAAAAAATAAATATAATTTTTTCTAAATCATCTATTTCAATTTTTTCCAGTTGATACAAAACCTTTGGTAAGGTATAAGCTTATTTGTGTAAGAATAGTTTATGTGTGTGTATTTAAAAGCATTTTAGATTAAAAGTAATTTATTTGCTGTGGGGTTTTTGTTTTTACAACCCCCTCTCCCCCTTTGTTCTTTATCGGTCTGCAGGAATCCGTACCTCTTTACTTAACCAGGAGTGGGCCCAGCTCAGGGTTCTCTGGTTCCCCTCCCTCCATGCCACCCCCTTACCCCCCAAGCAGCTGCTTGCAGCTGACTTGGTTTTGGGAGGACTTTTGCCCTGTGTCTTTGGGAGGAATTTCTTTGAGTCTGGGAGGCAACAGGTGGTGAATCTTCTTGAGCTGGTGCAGGTATTTCTGGGCTATTAAGTCTCAGTTAGAAAAATTAATAAAAAAAATTTCACTCTGAATGAAAGGCTGACTCAGGCTAGTGACCTTCTTCTACTTGGTGGGAAGTTGGAAGAATTTCAGCGGATGGAAAAAAGAAATATTGGTACGGTTTTCTTGAAGTTCACCATCACCTTACAGAGTTAATGGGCTGCTTACGATCTGCTGCTTACGATCCACAGCTTATATACTATGGTATCTCATTAGTGCCTTATGTTTGGATCTGGAGGTTTACATCAGTGAATCAAGCTTTGAATAACAAATGCTCAATCTTTGACTAAGTAGTGTTGTAGATGATATTTTTAAAAAAATTTTCAACAGTTGTGGTTGAGCCAATTCCAATTCATGGTTACTCTATGTTTGTCAGAGTAGCATTTTGCTTGATAAAGTTTCAGTGGCTGATTCTTCAGCAGAAGTAAATCACCAGGTCTTTCTTCTGAGGCACCATGGTGGACATAAATTTCCTATCTTTCAGTCAGCCAGCAATTAGGTGTATTAGGGAAGTCTCAAAGGAGGTTGATCTCTGGGGTGAAAACTGAAAATGACATTGATTTTATTTTTGTGTACAGATGACATTTGGTATGGACAAAGTAAGAATGCCTTTAAAAATTTGGAAGCCATTGGACCTTAGTTGACTTTCTTAAAAAACTTGTAATATTAGCATCAAATATATATGCTGATATGTTTATAAACTGTTCACATCACTCGGTATGAGTCCACTAACACTCATGTTAAAAAAAAAAAAATCAAACCCACTGCCATTCAGTCAGTTCAGTCTTCTTGTGATCGTATAGGATAAAATAGCCACTGAAGGGTTTCTGAGGCTAGAAGTCTTTATGGAAAATCGGATGACCACATCTTTCTCCTGCAGAGTGGCTGGTGGGCTCTAACCTGTGGCCTTTCTGTTAGCTGCCAAGTTCTTAACTATTCTGCCAGTGTGCTAGCAACAAGTGTAAGTAGGACTTCAATCTTCCAGGTGTTTATTGTTGTGGTTTCTTTTTGTGTGTGTGGTTATTGTTGCTTTCCTAAGTTTGAACATCTTAACTCCAGAGTGATACTCATGCTTTTGTTGTCTCTGAGGTGCAGGCCTGAACACACCATGATCTTTGAACTTTTTATTCCCTGCCCCTTTGCCTCTTCCCCAAATCCTCTGAATAAAATAGATTTAAAAAAAGATATTTGTGAAAAATATGCTACCTTCTCTCCCTGATATACTAGAACTTGCTTGCTCAGCTATGTTTGGGAGCTTGTTAAGGGAGCTTATGTAAAGGAGTTTGTTTCATTTCTTGAATTATACTTGAGGTCTCCGAGTTTTGGGAAATAATGGAAATTTGGCACTGGTGACAAACCAAGTGTTTAGAATTCCTTGTGATCTTTCTCTAGGGATGGAGTACTCAGTAATCATGAACCTCATTATACTTAACACTTTTCACCACTGTGGTAAAAAACAAAGGAGCTCTCATGGTCTAGTGGCAAGAATTTGCACTGCAATCCTGAAGTCAGACAGTTCGAGGCCACCAGCTGCTTCATGGGAGGACGGGCAATGGAGATTAGCTTGTGATTAACTGCCTCTGAAAACCCGTGAGAGGGTCAGCTATTCATCGGTTCCAACTTACAGTATACAACAATAACAACATGGTAAAAAACACATGAAACTGTTCACTATAGATGAATAAGTAAGCATAAGTAAATCCATGCTTAACTTTCCTACTCCTTAATTCATTTCTGTCAGGAATTAGAAGTTTGAGAGGCTAAGATTCTGTAGGAGGGTGCTGTAGGGTTGGAAGAGAGGCTGGTGCCACCTATACCTAGAAGTAGAAGCTCTGGAATGGTGAAAAATGTGAATTTATTTAGTACAGATTAGTAAACACAAGCCAGTGCTTACCAGGTCTTTAGGTAATCTGACATTTCCTGTTGCTTCCTACTCTAGGATTTTTCTGTTAACATCAGTAGGACTCTTGGCCTGTACATCTAAGAGTCATATGTACATAAACCAGCTAAGACACTCGGGACTACATCTCTTCTGATAATTTTATTTTTTGGTAA